ACGGTGCTGTTATAAATTGTGTTCCAATAACTTGGATCGTTTTTAATGTAAATTAAGTTTAAGCGTCTAATAATTTTTTTTCCTTCTTCTTTCGGATATTTAGGCAATATTATTTTTCACGCATAATTGCCATGACTTAAATAACATGATCCAATAGAGAAATAAATCATACTTCACCAATAACACTGACTTATTTACTACTGACTTTGATCCATCTTAATGAAACACCCTTATATATAATACGTCTTAATGAAACACGCTTTACATAGCATGGCTATCGTGACATCTAATCCTGATTGAATGTAGGTATTCTTACATAGGAGATTTTGAGAGCCTCAGGCTAACATAATTATGCACCTGTTCAAACGGAACCCCGCTCTAATTCACTTTCACTTGTCTTAAATTTGTTTTAGCAACATTTGCATAACTTGAAGTGAAATTATTGCCAATTCTTGAAATCAACTTGAATGCGTATTGGTCAATATAAATACTCTTTGTATATATATATATATATATATATATATATATATATATAATAAAAAACAGAACACTTTAAGGTTCCATGTAATAAAATATTTCACCACAGCCCTTTTAAAGGACTCTGGATCATCAGACTTTACTTCCAAAGATTGAAATGAAAAAAATTTAATTTCAACCTTTGGAAGTAAAAGTCTGATGATGCAGAGCCCTTTAAAAGGGCTGTGTGAAATAATTTATTACATGGAACCCAAATGATCTATTTTTTATTCAAACATATTTGCTCTGAATTTACATTGAGCTCTGCGGATATCATCCTCCTTGGGTCTACCCTTATGGATTACCTAGTTTTGCATAAACTATATATATATATATATATATATATATATATATATATATATATATATATATTATTGTTTATTGCAAACCAAATTAGCACATATTTCAAAACAACCGTATTAAAAGAGATTTTTATAAACCACATTATGACAATAAAACAATCAAAATAAATATAAGTTTGTCATATTGATATCATTTTAGTTTATGAAATTAATAAGAAGTTATAACATCGATAGAATGTTCTAAGACCCTGAACTAACATCAAACACGTTATCTATTTGAAACACAATGACACAAACTGAAACAGTCTGTTATTTGCTATGATTTCTGCAAAGTCAAATAAATATAATTTTGTCATATTGATATCGTTTGAATTTATGAAACGATTAAGAAGTTATAAGATGGAGAAAATTAAAATTCTTGCTATATAAAATTTCCAAAGCCCTAGGGTGCAGCCTATACTAGCCTAAACGATAATATTGTCCTATATAAGCACAGATTTGTATTGTCGAATTACGATAAGTTACAGGTTTTTTTGGGTTTTTTTCAATTGTGTGACCATAACCAGTTGGGTAAGTCGTTTATATATTGACGCATTGTGCATCTGTGTTTATGGCTCTCAATCTCGTGTTGGAATCTCAACAGACCTTAAAGAGTCACGGTGTCACCAAAAAAGAAACACTCTGGCTCAAAAACCCCTATGCCAACCAAGTTAAATCTATTATGGAGAGACAAATTACAAACTTAATAGATCAGGGATGGGACCCTGTATCGACTACGGGGAGTGTGCAAGTGTCGGCGCCTTCGCCCGTTGCAGTGGCATTGGGAAAATAACAGACGCAATCGATTTGCTCAATGATGCAAAAAAATGTAACCCTTAGAATATCTAGGAAATATTGCCTCGACTGTGGGATCAATTTAGGAATTATTGCCTCGTGTATAAGAATTATGTAAGAAATATTGCCTCGAGTATGGGAACTATGTAGGAATATTGCCTCGAGTGTGATAACTATGTAATAAATATTGTCTCGAGTGTGGGAACTATGTAAGAAATATTGCCTCGAGTGTGATAACTATGTAATAAATATTGTCTCGAGTGTGGGAACTATCTATGAAATATTGCCTCGACTGTGGGCTCAATTTAGGAATTATTGCCTCGTGTATAGGAATTATGTAAGAAATATTGCCTCGAGTATACGAACTATGTAGGAATATTGCGTCGAGTGTGATAACTATGTAATAAAAATTGTCTCGTGTGTGGGAACTATGTAGGAAATATTGTCTCGAGTGTGAGAACTATGTAGGAATATTGCCTCGAGTGTGATAACTATGTAATAAATATTGTCTCGAGTGTGGGAACTATCTAGGAAATATTGTCTCGAGTGTGAGAACTATATAGGAATATTGCCTCGAGTGTGGGAACTATGTAGGAAATATTGCCTCGAGTGTGTAGGAAGTATTGCCTCGATTGTGAAGTGTGATATTACGAGCAGTAGCCACCGTGAGTAGTTGAGAATAAGCAAGTGAATATCATGTAGGATGCGAAGTTTTGATTGACAAGCTCCTGGAGAGAAATCGCCCTGATATCATACTTGTGCCTAAGAGCTGTCATGAATGCATCCTGATAAACGTTGCGGTGCTTTGAGATAACAATGTCGTGAAGGCAGAGCAGGCGTATTTTTTTTTTTTTTTTCAAGAATATTTTTATTTACAAATTTCTAAAAAATAGAATTAAAACTAATGCAATGCATTATTTGTCATCTACCAATTTGTAAAGAAATGAATATAAAAAACGATTTTTATTCATAAATTTATAAACAATTACTAAATTATGAAATATGTGAACCACATACTTATTTACCATTTTATAAAGTTCGAATCAGTAGGCAATTAGTCGATATTATGCCAACCATTCCAATAAACAATATAATAAATAATGTAAATAAACAATCAAAAAAAATAAATAGTGTTAATTATTTTGTTTGCTTTTGTTTTGTTTTACGGCATATCAAACACAATGGGTTATTTTATCCCGATAAGATTTTTATTGCTGGTAATAATTTTATTTTTTCAAAATATGTTGTTGGTAATATTTTTTGCAAGAATGTATTGCTAGTATCTGTCTTTATTTCTGAGATGAGGTATTATGTACATTATTTACATTATTCGGACGATTGTCCTCATCTTTGTCGCCATATTTATTACAACGGATAAAGGCATTGGTTAGATCCAGTGACAGTACCCAAAGAGTGTGAGTTCAATACCCGGTTAAGGCAGTGGAGGACTTTCAGAGAGAAATTGACAGGAGATAACTGAGAATTGACATCTATTAAACATAGCACGTGGGACTAGAACAGTCTACCCCAGTGAGCGAAATAAAGGGTTAAGTTCGACATTCCAACCACCTGAAGAAGGCACATGCGTACAACGGCCGAAATGTTGTAATAAATATAGCGACAATGATGAGGACCATAGTCCGAATGATGTAAATAATGTATTGCTGGTATTTTTTTTCAAAAATATATTGCTGGTATTTTTTTTCAAAAATTTATTACTGATAAAAAAAATTTCCTAAAAAGTATTGCTGGTTTTAAAGTTATTTAACACATTCATAGTGTTTTGAGCCCTTTTTTTTAGTGTGGTAACTATATGCCCATAGCCGGGACCCTGACAGGTACTACCACCACAAGTCACTGCGGACCTGGGAGCGCTAGCAATTAAGAGGTACTTCCACGTTCCTCAAAACCTTCTGATCGAAGGCCTTGGTGTTGGAAGTAGTTTATCATAACTATTTGCCCATAGCCGAGACCCTGACAGGTACTACCACAACAGGTTACGGCGGACCTGGGAGCGCTAGCAATTAAGAGGTACTTCCATGTTCCTCAAAACCTTCTGATCAAAGGTCTTGCTGTTGGATGTAGTTTATCATCTTAACTATTTGCCCATAGCCGAGATCCTGACAGGTACTACCACCACAGGTCACGGCGGACCTGGGAGCGCTAGCAATTAAGAGGTACTTCCATGTTCCTCAAAAACTTCTGATCAAAGGCCTTGCTGTTGGATGTAATTTATCACCTTAACTATTTGCCCATAGCCGAGATCCTGACAGGTACTACCACCACAGGTCACGGCGGAACTGGGAGCGCTAGCAATTAAGAGGTACTTCCATGTTTCTAAAAACCTTCTGATCAAAGGCCTTGCTGTTGGATGTAGTTTATCATCTTAACTATTTGCCCATAGCCGAGACTCTGACAGGTACTACCACCACAGGTTACGGCGGACCTGGGAGCGTCAGCAATTAAGAGGTAGTTACACGTTCCTCAAAACCTTCTGATCAAAGGCCTTGCAGTCGGATATAGTTTATCATCTTAACCATAACGCGGATGTAGTTTATCGACATACCCAGGACGATAATTATTTTCTTGTTAATTCTAATGAACAAAAAATGTACGAATTCATATGTTGATATTACAATTTAATAATCGCCTTTTTAAAATAATGAGCATTATCGAAGAGGGAAGGTAGTTAAAAAAGTAGCGTCAAGGGCAAAAATTTCTTCTATTTTTTTTTTTTTTTGAGATCAAAGTTCCATGTCTGCCTACACCTAATATAAAATAAACGCGCCTAGTGCCATCTAACGAAATACACTGAAAAGATAATTTAGAAGAAGCCAATAGATATCTCATTTCTAGCTTAAAAGATAGCATTATGCTTTGTTAAAAAAAAATGTTAAGCCGTAATTTTTTTTTTCGAAAATTCCGAATGTTAAGAGAATTGTCAGAAACATTCAAACAGACATTTCGCACGTAATCAGTTGCGCCAGTCTGATAGAGAGGTCCTCATGTCATTCAAACATTACCTTGTTTCTATTCCTTATGAGTCCCAAAAATATCATAGGTGTCAGCGAAAACATAAACACACACCTTTCCCCGTCACATAATTCTTACCTTTTTTTATATATATATATATATATATATATATATATATATATATATATATATATATATATATATATATATATATCGGATAAAACATAGACACGATATAAGTCGGATTTTTTTATACATCACATTTCTGGTATATGCATTAGTACAGGGAAATTATCAGTTCTGTTTATCATTCTTAGTGGAGAGTCATGCAAATATATTTAACATTCGTACTGATATATTCGGGGACGTTTCCTAATGTCTGTACATTTTTTTTTCAATAAATTGAGGATCGTAATTTTCTTTGTTGATATGGTAAACAACTGACGAAAAAAGATCCTCGTGAAGGAATTGTCAAAAAAGTCACTTTACATATATAGGCTATTAAAGAAACTGCTTATATAAATCGCGATGACTGTTGATCTGCCTCAATCTATAAATATCCATCTATCTATCTATCGATCCACCTTTTTTAAATTTTATTCATATCTATTTATCCTTTTATTCTAGTTATATGTATGTTTGTATGAATGCATGTATGGTGTATGCATGAATGTATGTATCAATCTATGACTATTCGGATGTACCGTTTTATTCTATTCTATAACTATTCATATCTATCTGAGTTTTGTCATTTTTATCTATCACTGCCTATTAATATTCATCTATCTATCTATCTATCTCAGTTTGTTCATATCTATCTATCTATCTATCTATCTATCTATCTATCTATCTATCTATCTATATCAGTCTCTTCATATCTATCTTGGTTTGCTCATATCTATCTATCTATCTATTTAAGTTTTATCATTTAAGTCTATCGCTGTTTGTTAATATCTATCTATCTATCTATCTATCTATCTAACTAAGTAAGTATTTATCATTTCAGTCTATCGCTGTTTTGTTAATATCTATCTATCTAAGTTTTGACATTTAGGTCTATCTCTGTCTGTTAATATCTATCCATATCTATCTATCTATCTATCTATCTATCTATCTATCTATTTAAGTTTTGTAATTCCGTCTATCGTTTGTCTGTTAATATCTATCTATCTATCTATCTATCTATCTATTTCCAGTTTGTTCATATCTATCTCTATCTATCTATTTCAGTCTCTTCATATCTATCTTTGTTTGTTCATATCTATCTATATATCTATCTATCTATCTATTTAAGTTTTATCATTTAACTCTATCGCTGTTTGTTAATATCTATCCATCTATCTATCTATCTATCTATCTATCTATCTATCTATCTAACTAACTGTTATCATTTAAGTCTATCGCTGTTTGTTAATATCTATCTATCTATCTATCTATCTATCTATCTATCTATCTATCTATCTAAGTTTTGACATTTACGTTTATTGCTGTCTGTTAATATCTATCTATCTATCTATCTATCTATCTATCTATCTATCTATCTATTTCAGTTTGTTCATATCTATCTATCTATCTATCTATTTCAGTCTCTTCATATCTATCTTGGTTTGTTCATATCTATCTATATATCTATCTATCTATTTAAGTTTTATCATTTAACTCTATCGCTCTTTGTTAATATCTATCTATCTATCTATCTATCTATCTATCTCAGTCTCTTCATATCTATCTATCTATCTATCTATCTATCTATCTATCTATCTATCTATCTTTGCTCATGTGTGTCAGTTGACATTTATCTCTGTCAGTCTACTGTGCGTTCCACCTTTATATCCAAATAGCATTTCTTAAATTATCGTCTGGTTGACTGCATGTATTATCACAAATCTTTAATAAAACGGTTGAAGTACTGGAATGCGCAACGATGTGCAATGTCAAGTGTTTCTTTAATATAATAAACAACTGGCTGCCATTTTGGTCATATCGCTTCTTTTGCATCCTTCCAAATTATATGCAAGATGGGCCGTAAAGCATTTTTGATCAACGATGAGTAGGCGAAAATTGTTGACATGGTTTACGAAAGGAAGAGCTGCAGTAAGTGGAATTTGTTAAAACTCACGCAAGAGGCCACCGTACCATCAAGATATTCATCTGCGAACCGAAATGCACGCGTTGCGCGTATCGACAAAGGTAAGACACGTGGATGCTCGTTTCTTGCTCGATGAATGAAAACACGTCTGGAGGTAGAAATGTATAAGCACCCACTTAAGTGTGGCAAAGAGTTAATTGCTTTTCGTGGAACTCCCAGAATTCCCAAATCCTCGTGATGGCACATTTTCAAGTGGTTTGAAATGTGCAGTAGGCCTGGAAACTGAATCTTATCGCTAAACGCTTTTCTTGGACCGAAAGGTATTTATCATTACATTTCAACTTTCTGCATGAATCTCAAAGGAAATTCAAACAGAGACTTTTAAAAACTATTACCGAGACTTTTAAAAACATTTGTGCAGTGTACATCGTTAAGGCTCGCGCATGTCGGCTTTGGTTTAAAGACTTATATATGGTGGTTGTGACAGGTTGAATTTTCGCATGTCTTAAGAAAATGAAGATTGCACTCCATGCAAATGCTAGCGTATGATTTGGTAAAGTACTACTACGAAAAATAAGATTAATATTCTTTACCACTTTTGAGCATTTAGTTTTAAGTGTGTAAAATTGAAATATTTAATATCTAATTTCTGCCGTTTTTGCTCACAAAGTGACTTAAAAACATTTCAATTTCATAAATAAATCCAAATAAAATTAATATCTTTTGTATTCGATAAATAAAAACTGAAAAAATTAATTGTAAAACATTACAAGAAAGGATACTCAATACATAAGATTTGTTGGATAATTTGTTAAATCATTTGTCCATTGACTGTCGCTCTGTCGGCTGGAGCTGTAAAATACGCCAACTGCAACTCTGCAGAGGGTAAGAGCCCCACCAATGGGGGCGTCCTGGGGGGACGATAAACTGCGTCCGACAGCGCGGCTTCTAGTGCGGGGGGTTGAGGAGCGTAGAACCGCCTCTTGGTTGCTGGTGTTCCCAGGTCCGCCCTGGCCCGGGTGGTAGCACTTGTTGGGGTCCCAGCATTGGGCGGGTAACCGAAACTGGGGTAGAAGCGCTGTGTAAGTGTGGGAGGTGGGTTTAATACCAGAGATACTTTGTGGAAAGTTATTATCTGTGGGATTTTGAAGAAAAAAAAAACTATTACCAGCAATGCATTTTTGTAAAAAAAAAAAAAAAATTACCAACAATACGTTTTTGAAGAAAGGTATTACCAGCAAGACATCTTTGAAAAAAAATATTTGCCAGCTGTACATTTTTTTGAGGAAAATATTATTACCAGCAATACTTTTTTGAAAAAAATATTACCAACAAGACATTTTGTAGGAAAAATATTAACAGAAATAAATTTTTGACAAAACAAAATATTACTAGCAATAAAATTTTGTCGGGCATTAAATAACCCATTGAGGTGTTGATATGCCGTAAAACAAAACAAACAAAACGAAACTAAGTAGAGTAAGTAATTTATCTTATTACTTAGTGTAAGTAAATAATCTTACTAAGTAAAAGCAATTGTCCTTTTACTGTCCCAAGTAGTTTTTCTCACATTCTTTAACACTCAGTAACCTCCTGGTGGAGGCACGGTGGCGTAATGGTAGCAGGCTCGAATTGAGGAATCGGAGAACCGAGTTCAAATTCCAGTCGAATCCATTACATTCACTTACGTGCTAATATACTTGGGAAAGGTATGAATCCTCTTTCTCTAACACCACCTATGGGTAATAGCAGGACTGGTTTACCGCAGAAAGAAATGGCAACCTACTGCGTCAAAAAAATCTGCCTCGCCAGTCATGTATCGAAAGATACATGATCGCCTAAGCTGTGTATCACGAAAGAAAACATAACTGACTGAACACATTGTGTCCTAGTGGGTTTAATGCTTGATTGGGTGAAATGATTAAGATATATATATATATGTGTATATATATATCGTCGTGGTCTGACGATTGCGTCTAGCATGAAACAGCCTCTCGCCTCTAAGTGTTGACTTCAATGTTCACTTATATATATATATATATATATATATATATATATATATATATATATATATATATATTAATATAATATAATTAAGTACACGTGAACAGCCCTGCAATTCAAATTTCAAACAGGCAATGACGTAGTACCTCAGGACGATTTTTCAGTATTTTTTTGAAAATCAACTTTGTAGTCTCTGCGAATGACGAGTAATTACACTAAAAGTTAAATTCATACCTGTTACCAATTTTTGAGCATTTAGTTTTAAATATCGTTTGACAAAATATAAGTAATACAAAATTTTGTAGGTTTTGGCTTAAAACGTCACATTTTACTAATTCAAGAATAAATTCAAATAAAGTTGATATCTTTTATTAGATACACTGAATGGAAAATATGTTCAAACCAGAATTCTTATTATGAATCACCACAAAATAAAATATGCAATTTTTACTGTATTTGATAAGTTAAAACTGTAAAAACGAAAGTGCTGAAATTTCTTCTAGTACATAATGAAGAAAGAGGGTTCGAGAATTGGACACTCACAGGACATGTTGAAGGACAGTTGAAATAATTGTATAACCAACATAACGAGATTTTGTAAACTGTTGGTGGAGATGGGATTAAAAGATAGAGTGAAAAGACAAATATACTAAGAGTTACGAAAAATCAGGAAGTTGGAAGAGCCATGATCGCCCACGTCCTGAAAGTAAATGGCATATACAAGAAGAATGGGGATGTGGAAGAAGCTCCCATCCTGTCGATCTTATCTTGGGTTTGTTTTGCGGTTGTTCTTTGCATTGTTGTCATGCTGAAAATAACACCTTTTTGTTTAACAAAAGAACATTTCCACTTAATGCTTCGTTTACACGATCAAGTTGCTGGTGAAAAAAAAAAAAAGCAAACAAAAAAACAAAAAAAACGCTCGCATTACTAGTTCCTTCATATGCCATTATCTCATCATAAAATTCAGCTTTCATATTCCACCAGACACACACAAAAGGACTTCTGATGGAATCCTAGTTTTGGTCTATGGCAGTGTTTTTCATTTAGCGATACACGCTGTCTTTTTACTTTGTTCTGTTGATAGACAAAAAGACATTTTTCATCAACTCTAACAATGCAATGCAAAAGAAATAAAAATAAAATAAGAAATTTGGCGTTCTTGGTTAAAAGACTGCGGCAAATCGGGGAATGGTATAAGTCGGTCTTTTTGAGCAAAAGCTCACGGGGGAAGCCAAATTTCGTCTTTGTAAGTGTTCCGAAATAAACTTTGAAATGCTCTATAAATGACACACTGAGTAGTTAAAAATCTATATCTAGATAGAGTTTCCTTATCAGTCAAACTTGGTTATGCCTTGATGCCATCATAATTCATAGCTGGGAAATATGTAATTACATTCTGAACACGCCAATAATAATAATAATAATAATAATAATAACGGTGCAATTATAAATTGTGTTTCCAATAACTTGACTGTTTTAATGTGAATTAAGTTTAAGCGTCTAATAATTTTTTTTCCTTCTTTCGGATATTTAGGCAATATTATTTTTTCACGCATAATTGCCATGACTTAAATAACATGATCCAATAGAGAAATAAATCATACTTCACCAATAACACTGACTTATTTACTACTGACTTTGATCCATCTTAATGAAACACCTTATATATAATACGTCTTAATGAACACGCTTTTACATAGCATGGCTATCGTGACATCTAACTCTGATTGAATGTAGGTATTCTTACATAGGAGATTTTGAGAGCCTCAGGCTAATATAATTATGCACCTGTTCAAACGGAACCCTGCTCTAATTCACTTTCACTTGTCTTAAATTTGTTTTAGCAACATTTGCATAACTTGAAGTGAAATTATTGCCAATTTTGAAATCAACTTGAATGCGTATTGGTCAATATAAATACTTTTGTATATATATATATATATATATATATATATATATATTAATAAAAATAGAACATTTTTTAAGTTCCATGTAATAAATATTTCACACAGCCCTTTTAAGGGACTTCTGATTTATCAGAGCTCATTTCCAAGATTGAAATGAAAAAATTAATTTCAACCTTTGGGTAAAAGTCCGATGATGCAGAGTATTTTAAAAGGGCTGTGGTGAAATAAATTTATTACATGAACCTTAAAGTGGTCTATTTTTTATTCAAAACATATTTGTTCTGAATTTACATTGAGCTTTCTGCGGATATCATCCTCCTTGGGTCTACCCATACGGATTACCTAGTTTTGCATAAACTATATATATATATATATATATATATATATATATATATATATATATATTATTGTTTATTGCCAAACCAAATTAGCACATATTTCAAAAAACAACTGTATTAAAAAGAGATTTTTATAAACCACATTATGACAATAAAAAACAATCAAAATAAATATAAGTTTGTCATATTGATATCATTTTAGTTTATGAAATTAATAAGAAGTTATAACATCGATAGAATGTTCTAAGACCCTGAACTAACATCAAACACGTTATCTATTTGAAAAACACAATGACACAAACTGAAACAGTCTGTTATTTGCTATGATTTCTGCAAAGTCAAATAAATATAATTTTATCATATTGATATCGTTTGAATTTATGAAACGATTAAGAAGTTATAAGATGGAGAAAAATTAAAATTCTTGCTATATAAAATTTCCAAGCCCTAGGTGCAGCCTATACTAGCCTAAACGATAATATTGTCCTATATAAGCACAGATTTGTATTGTCGAATTACGATAAGTTACAGGTTTTTTTGGGTTTTTTTCAATTGTGTGACCATAACCAGTTGGGTAAGTCGTTTATATATTGACGCATTGTGCATCTGTGTTTATGGCTCTCAATCTCGTGTTGGAATCTCAACAGACCTTAAAGAGTCACGGGTGTCACCAAAAAGAAACACTCTGGCTCAAAACCCCTATGCCAACCAAGTTAAATCTATTATGGAGAGAGACAAATTACAAACTTAATAGATCAGGATGGGACCCTGTATCGACTACGGGGAGGTGTGCGTCGGCGCCTTCGCCCGTTGCAGGCATTTGGGAAAATAACAGACGCAATCGATTTGCTCAATGATGCAAAAAAAATGTAACCCTTAGAATATCTGGGAAATATTGCCTCGACTGTGGGATCAATTTTAGAATTATTGCCTCGTGTATAAGAATTATGTAAGAAATATTGCCTCGAGTATGGGAACTATGTAGGAATATTGCCTCGAGTGTGATAACTATAATAAATATTGTCTCGAGTGTGGGAACTATGTAAGAAATATTGCCTCGAGGTGATAACTATGTAATAAATATTGTCTCGAGTGGAACCATTCATGAAATATTGTTCGACTGTGGGCTCAATTTAGGAATTATTGCCTCGTGTATAGGAATTATGTAAGAAATATTGCCTCGAGTATACGAACCATGTAGGAATATTGCGTCGAGTGTGATAACTATGTAATAAAAAATTGTCTCGTGTGGGGAACTATGTAGGAAATATTGTCTCGAGTGTGAGAACCATGGTGGAATATTGCCTCGAGGTGATAACTATGTAATAAATATTGTCTCGAGTGGAACTATCTAGGAAATATTGTCTCGAGTGTGAGAACTATATAGGAATATTGCCTCGAGTGTGGGAACCATGTAGGAAATATTGCCTCGAGTGTGTAGGAAGTATTGCCTCGATTGTGAAGTGTGATATTACGAGCAGTAGCCACCGTGAGTAGTTGAGAATAAGCAAGTGAATATCATGTAGGATGCGAAGTTTTGATTGACAAGCTCCTGGAGAGAAATCGCCCTGATATCATACTTGTGCCTAAGAGCTGTCATGAATGCATCCTGATAAACGTTGCGGTGCTTTGAGATAACAATGTCGTGAAGGCAGAGCAGGCGTATTTTTTTTTTATTTTCAAGAATATTTTTTATTTACAAATTTCTAAAAAATAGAATTAAAACTAATGCAATGCATTATTTGTCATCTACCAATTTGTAAAGAAATGAATATAAAAAACGATTTTTATTCATAAATTTATAAACAATTACTAAATTATGAAATATGAACCACATACTTATTTACTACCATTTTATAAAGTTCGAATCAGTAGGCAATTAGTCGATATTATGCCAACCATTCCAATAAAACAATATAATAAATAATGTAAATAAACAATCAAAAAATAAATAGTGTTAATTATTTTGTTTGCTTTGTTTTGTTTTACGGCATATCAAACACAATGGGTTATTTTATCCCGATAAGATTTTATTGTTGGTAATAATTTTATTTTTCAAAAATATGTTGTTGGTAATATTTTTTGCAAGAATGTATTGCTAGTATCTGTCTTTATTTCTGAGATGAGGTATTATGTACATTATTTACATTATTCGGACGATTGTCCCCATCTTTGTCGCCATATTTATTACAACGGATAAAGGTACTGGTTGATCCAGTGACAGTACCCAAAGAGTGTGGAGTTCAATACCCGGTTAAGGCAGTGGAGGACTTTTCAGAGAAAAACAGGAGATAACTGAGAATTGACATCTATTAAACATAGCACGTGGGACTAGAACAGTCTCACCCAGTGAGCGAAATAAAAGGGTTAAGTCGACATTCCAACCACCTGAAGAAGGCACATGCGTACAACGGCCGAAATGTTGTAATAAATATAGCGACAATGATGAGGACCATAGTCCGAATGATGTAAATAATGTATTGCTGGTATTTTTTTTTCAAAAATATATTGCTGGTATTTTTTTTCAAAAATTTATTACTGATAAAAAAATTTCCTAAAAAGTATTGTTGGTTTTAAAGTTATTTAACACATTCATAGTGTGTTTTGAGCCCTTTTTTTAGTGTGGTAACTATATGCCCATAGCCGGGACCCTGACAGGTACTACCACCACAAGTCACTGCGGACCTGGGAGCGCTAGCATTAAGAGGTACTTCCACGTTCCTCAAAACCTTCTGATCGAAGGCCTTGGTGTTGGAAGTAGTTTATCATAACTATTTGCCCATAGCCGAGACCCTGACAGGTACTACCACAACAGGTTACGGCGGACCTGGGAGCGCTAGCAATTAAGAGGTATTCCATGTTCTCAAAAACCTTCTGATCAAAGGTCTTGCTGTTGGATGTAGTTTATCATCTTAACTATTTGCCCATAGCCGAGATCCTGACAGGTACACCACCACAGGTCACGGCGGACCTGGGAGCGCTAGCAATTAAGAGGTACTTCCATGTTCCTCAAAAAAACTTCTGATCAAAGGCCTTTGCTGTTGGATGTAATTTATCACCTTAACTATTTGCCCATAGCCGAGATCCTGACAGGTACTACCACCACAGGTCACGGCGGAACTGGGAGCGCTAGCAATTAAGAGGTACTTCTCCATGTTTCTAAAAACCTTCTGATCAAAAGGCCTTGCTGTTGGATGTAGTTTATCATCTTAACTATTTGCCCATAGTCGAGACTCTGACAGGTACTACCACCACAGGTTACGGCGGACCTGGGAGCGTCAGCAATTAAGAGGTAGTTACACGTTCCTCAAAAACCTTCTGATCAAAGGCCTTGCAGTCGGATATAGTTTATCATCTTAACCATAACGCGGATGTAGTTTATCGCCATACCCAGGACGATAATTATTTTCTTGTTAATTCTAATGAACAAAAATGTACGAATTCATATGTTGATATTACAATTCCTAATAATCGCCTTTTAAAATAATGAGCATTATCGAAGAGGGAAGGTAGTTAAAAAGAAGCGTCAAGGGCAAAAAATTTCTTTTTTTTTTTTTTTTTTTGAGATCAAAGTTCCATGTCTGCTCACACCTAATATAAAATAAACGCGCCTAGTGCCATCTAACGAAATACACTGAAAAAGATAATTTAGAAGAAGCCAATAGATATCTCATTTCTAGCTTAAAATATAGCATTATGCTTTGTTAAAAAAATTAAGCCGTATTTTTTTTTTTTCGAAAATTCCGAATGTTAAGAGAATTGTCAGAAAATATTCAAACAGACATTTCGCACGTAATCAGTTGCGCTAGTTCGATAGAGAGGTCCCCATGTCATTCAAACATTACCTTGTTTCTATTCCTTATGAGTCCCAAGGGGGTCATAGGTGTCAAAGGAAACATAAACACACACCTTCCCCGTCACATAATTCTTACCTTTTTTTTTTTCAGTATATATATATATATATATATATATATATATATATATATATATATATATATATATATATATATATAAAAAATATAGACACGATATAAGTTCGGATTTTTTATACGTCACATTTCTGGTATATGCATTAGTACAGGGAAATTATCAGTTCTGTTTATCATTCTTAGTGGAGAGTCATGCAAATATATTTAACATTCGTACTGATATATTCGGGACGTTTCCTAATGTCTGTACATTTTTTTTTCAATAAATTGAGGATCGTAATTTTTCTTTTGTTGATATGGTAAACAACTGACGAAAAAAAGATCCTCGTGAAGGAATTGTCAAAAAAGTCACTTTACATATATAGGCTATTAAAGAAACTGCTTATATAAATCGCGATGACTGTTGATCTGCCTCAATCTATAAATATCCATCTATCTATCTATCGATCCACCTTTTTTTTAATTTTATTCATATCTATTTATCCTTTTATTCTAGTTATATGTATGTTTGTATGAATGCATGTATGGTGTATGCATGAATGTATGTATCAATCTATGACTATTCGGATGTACCGTTTTATTCTATTCTATAACTATTCATATCTATCTGAGTTTTGTCATTTTTATCTATCACTGCCTATTAATATTCATCTATCTATCTATCTATCTCAGTTTGTTCATATCATCCATCTATCTATCTATCTATCTATCTATCTATCTATCTATCTATATCAGTCTCTTCATATCTATCTTGGTTTGCTCATATCCATCTATCTATCTATTTAAGTTTTATCATTTAAGTCTATCGCTGTTTGTTAATATCTATCTATCTATCTATCTATCTATCTAACTAAGTAAGTGTTATCATTTCAGTCTATCGCTGTTTGTTAATATCTATCTATCTAAGTTTTGACATTTAGGTCTATCTCTGTCTGTTAATATCTATCTATCTATCTATCTATCTATCTATCTATCTATTTAAGTTTTGTAATTCCGTCTATCGCTGTCTGTTAATATCTATCTATCTATCTATCTATTTCAGTTTGTTCATATCATCTATCTATCTATTTCAGTCTCTTTCATATCTATCTTGGTTTGTTCACATTCATCTATATATCTATCTATCTATCTATCTATTTAAGTTTTATCATTTAACCTCTATCGCTTTGTTTGTTAATATCTATCTATCTATCTATCTATCTATCTATCTATCTATCTATCTATCTAACTAACTAACTGTTATCATTTAAGTCTATCGCTGTTTGTTAATATCTATCTATCTATCTATCTATCTATCTATCTATCTATCTAAGTTTTGACATTTACGTTTATTGCTGTCTGTTAATATCTATTCATCTATCTATCTATCTATCATCTATCTATCTATCTATCTATTTCAGTTTGTTCATATCTATCTATCTATCTATCTATTTCAGTCTCTTCATATCTATCTTGGTTTGTTCATATCTATCTATATATCTATCTATCTATTTAAGTTTTATCATTTAACTCTATCGCTCTTTTGTTAACATCTATCTTCATCTATCTATCTATCTATCTATCTCTAGTCTCTTCATATCATATCTATCTATCTATCTATCTATCTATCTATCTATCTATCTATCTATCTTTGCTCATGTGTGTCAGTTGACATTTATCTCTGTCAGTCTACTGTGCGTTCCACCTTTATATCCAAATAGCATTTCTTAAATTATCGTCTGGTTGACTGCATGTATTATCACAAATCTTTAATAAAACGGTTGGAAGTACTGGAATGCGCAACGATGTGCAATGTCAAGTGTTTCTGCGCAATATAATAAACAACTGGCTGCCATTTTGGTCATATCGCTTCTTTTGCATCCTTCCAAATTATATGCAAGATGGGCCGTAAAGCATTTTTGATCAACGATGAGTAGGCGAAAATTGTTGACATGGTTTACGAAAGGAAGAGCTGCAGTAAGTGGAATTTGTTAAAACTCACGCAAGAGGCCACCGTACCATCAAGATATTCATCTGCGAACCGAAATGCACGCGTTGCGCGTATCGACAAAGGTAAGACACGTGGATGCTCGTTTCTTGCTCGATGAATGAAAACACGTCTGGAGGTAGAAATGTATAAGCACCCACTTAAGTGTGGCAAAGAGTTAATTGCTTTTCGTGGAACTCCCAGAATTCCCAAATCCTCGTGATGGCACATTTTCAAGTGGTTTGAAATGTGCAGTAGGCCTGGAAACTGAATCTTATCGCTAAACGCTTTTCTTGGACCGAAAGGTATTTATCATTACATTTCCAACTTTCTGCATGAATCTCAAAAGGAAATTCAAACAGAGACTTTTAAAAACTATTACCGAGACTTTTAAAAACATTTGTGCAGTGTACACATCGTTAAGGCTCGCGCATGTCAGCTTTGGTTTAAAAGACTTATATATGGTGGTTGTGACGGGTTGAATTTTCGCATGTCTTAAGAAAATGAAGATTGCACTCCATGCAAATGCTAGCGTATGATTTGGTAAGTACTACTACGAAAAATAAGATTAATATTCTTTACCACTTTTTGAGCATTTAGTTTTAAGTGTGTAAAGGTGAAATATTTAATATCTAATTTCTGCCGTTTTTTGCTCACAAAGTGACTTAAAAACATTTCAATTTCATAAATAAATCCAAATAAAATTAATATCTTTTGTATTCGATAAATAAAAAACTGAAAAAATTAATTGTAAAACATTACAAGAAAGGATACTCAATACATAAGATTTGTTGGATAATTTGTTAAATCATTTGTCCATTGACTGTCGCTCTGTCGGCTGGAGCTGTAAAATACGCCAACTGCAACTCTGCAGAGGGGTAAGAGCCCCACCCAATGGGGCGTCCTGGGTGGGACGATAAACTGCGTCCGACAGCGCGGCTTCTAGTGCGGGGGGGTTGAGGAGCGTAGAACCGCCTCTTGGTTGCTGGTGTTCCCAGGTCCGCCCTGGCCCGGGGTGGTAGCACTTGTTGGGGTCCCAGCATTGGGCGGGTAGTTGGCACCGAAACTGGGGTAGAAGCGCTGTGTAAGTGTGGAGGTGGGTTTTAATACCAGAGATACTTTGTGGAAAGTTATTATCTGTGGTGGATTTTTGAAGAAAAAAAAAACTATTACCAGCAATGCATTTTTGTAAAAAAAAAAAAAAAAATTACCAACAATACGTTTTTGAAGAAAGGTATTACCAGCAAGACATCTTTGGAAAAAAATATTGCCAGCTGTACATTTTTGAGGAAAACATTATTACCAGCAATACTTTTTTTGAAAAAAAATATTACCAACAAGACATTTTTGTAGGAAAAATATTAACAGAAATAAATTTTTGACAAAACAAAATATTACTAGCAATAAAAATTTTGTCGGCATTAAATAACCCATTGAGGTGTTGATATGCCGTAAAACAAAACAAACAAAACGAAACTAAGTAGAGTAAGTAATTTATCTTATTACTTAGTGTAAGTAAATAATCTTACTAAGTAAAAAGCAATTGTCCTTTTTACTGTCCCAAGTAGTTTTTCTCACATTCTTTAACACTCAGTAACCTCCTGGTGGAGGCACGGTGGCGTAATGGTAGCAGGCTCGAATTGAGGAATCGGAGAACCGAGTTCAAATTCCAGTCGAATCCATTACATTCACTTACGTGCTAATATACTTGGGAAAGGTATGAATCCTCTTTCTAACACCACCTATGGGTAATAGCAGGACTGGTTTACCGCAGAAAGAAATGGCAACCCTACTGCGTCAAAAAATCTGCCTCGCCAGTCATGTATCGAAAGATACATGATCGCCTAAGCTGTGTATCACGAAAGAAACATAACTGACTGAACACATTGTGTCCTAGTGGGTTTAATGCTTTGGATTGGGTGAAATGATTAAGATATATATATATGTGTATATATATATCGTCGTGGTCTGACGATTGCGTCTAGCATGAAACAGCCTCTCGCCTCTAAGTGTTGACTTCAATGTTCACTTGTGTATATATATATATATATATATATATATATATATATATATATATATATATATATATATTACAATATAATTAAGTACACGTGAACAGCCCTGCAATTCAAATTTCAAACAGGCAATGACGTAGTACCTCAGGACGATTTTTCAGTATTTTTTTGAAAATCAACTTTGTAGTCTCTATGAATGACGAGTAATTACACTAAAAGTTAAATTCATACCTGTTACCAATTTTTTGAGCATTTAGTTTTAAAATATCGTTTGACAAAATATAAGTAATACCAAATTTTTTGTAGGTTTTGGCTTAAAACGTCACATTTTTACTAATTCAAGAATAAATTCAAATAAAGTTGATATCTTTTGTATTAGATACACTGAATGGAAAATATGTTCAAACCAGAATTTTATTATGAATCACCACAAGCAAAATATGCAATTTTTACTGTATTTGATAAGTTAAAACTGTAAAAAAAAAAAATTACAAAAAACGACTAATCAATGAATTAGATCTAACAACGTTTTGAGGTGATAATTAATAAAAAAAAAAAATTTAGTTAAAAGTCTATATAACATCATCATACTGTTGGGCACAAATTATAAGGTAAAATGTTTTAAATCTGCATTTTTAAATTGAAAATCGTACTAAAAGTTACTGCATTGTATAATATCAAAATATAGGTAAATTATTCAGTATAATTGCCCTTTGAAGGTCTTATTTGATGGCACAACGATTTAGTAATCATTTGCTTGTGTCTTGTTTCTTATCGATATCCAAACTGTAAATCTTCAATAGTTAATTTAGCTGCTCTTTCTACACCTTGCGAATGTTCAGTTAAAATCCAACATTGTTCCATTTATTTGAAAATGCTGTTGTTCATTATTTGAAAAACTTTCTGTCTGCGCAGGTTCACAAAATTCATTCTGTGAGAGATTAATCAAATTTGACCAGTGTGCCCTTTCAGAATTGAAGAATGTCATCATACTTATTATAAAACCCAGGTTGTGTGTGTGTGTGTGTGTGTGTGTGTTCGTTTATATATTAGATCGGATTTCTTACATTTTTAAACCGATTTCAACAAAACTTCACAGGACTACGTAAAATTACCTTGCGGTGGTTCTGACAGTGCCAAAAATTGGAAAAACACAATTGTTTTTGCACGAAATCAATTTGAAAACACGATTAAAAGGCATCGCGATAATGAAAGGGGGACAACTCATACCGAGTTATACTTATTATAGAAAATTATAAAAAAAGGTTGTTTGTGTGTGTGTGTGTGTTTGTGTGTGTGTGTGTGTGTGTGTGTTTGTGTTCGTTTATATATGGGATCGGATTTCCTACATTTTTCAACCGATTTCATCAAAACTTCACTTTTTTTGGCAGGTAGTGTTTCTTATTGTCTTGCACACTTTTTTTCTTTTATTTTACATTCAGAATGCTTTAAAAATTCCATTTACAAGACAATTGTTTATAATAAAATTCTATTCAATCGGTAGACTCATAATGATTGAAAACATTGTTTCTGTTTGAGTTTGGGTTTGACCAATTCGTAAAAAAAAAACAAAACAAAAAAAATAATAATTAAGACATGTGTGTCCGTCAACCTTAAACAATAATCTTTCTCAATTTTATTTTTCAGTCTTTATGATGGTCGATACTTGATCTATCTCTTACTGTTACATCCCCGGGCAATGCCGGGCTCTCCTGCTAGTTACTTTTAAATCTCTTCTTTGGTGGTTCGCTATTTTTAAAACAAAAAATATTTTTATTGGAAACTATACCCTTTCTTACTTATATTTATGTGATATAATTTGAATGATATTTTAAAATTAGTTTTTGTAAATTAAGTATGAATTAATGTTTACTTATCTAATGGACAAATTTCTTTTATAAACTCTTCTCTCACCTTCAAATTATCTGAATTCAACATAGAGAAAAGCATATTATCTGGAAACAAGGCGAAACCATTGTGCTGTAAATTTTTAATGCAACCTTTTGTATTTTGGTCGACAGTAGCTTTATTCCCTGGATCATGTTGAAGATATACAACTGGTTATGGAATTTGTAATACCTTTTAATTTAAAATCAACTAATTACATATATTTCAATTATACATTTTATATGGCTGTGCTCTAAGGCTTTAACTGATCACCAATTTTAAACCTAAACTTATCTTTAATTTTTTTCTTTTGAACCTAAACTTATTATTTAAAAGTTTTCCCTCAAAAAACAGCAACGAGTTG